CAGATGAATGAGGCGAGTAAACACAGCTGACAGCCGGCGTGAAACTCGAGCGATTAATCGCATCGCGTCCGGTGTGAACTGAAGAAAATTGAAGTAACGTGATACAGCAAAAAGTTTAATACAGCGTATTTTTGGTATATTCATTTTAATGTCCCCTGATATATAAGAAGTGTGTTTTTATATATTCATGTGTGTACTTAATTACTTTGTATTTAATAGTAGCAGTTTATATGAACAAGAAGCTGGAGATATGAGGAGTGAAAACTTCCCTATTAGGAGAAGTGGAGAGGGGAGAGAGGAAATATCCTTATATGGATACAGCGAGAAGACAGCAGAGAGTAGAATGTGTGTGCGTGCATTGCAGTAGCCATAGGCTGTATAATAACTGCTCAATTATACTGGTGCTTGTGTGTTTATTGATTTATTTCTCTTTTATTCTTTCAGGTTGTGAGTACTAAATTGCCACAACATTGTGAAGTAGTTGGCTTAAATGTGTTTAATTACTCTGTGTGAAATAAGGAGCAGGTTTGCGTGACAGGAGACTAAAGATGTGGGGAGAGGAGATATTCTTATCTAAACACAGCAGGTCAAGTAGCTGGAACGATACATGTCTAAAATATATGTGTGTGTTTAATTACTTTGTATCAATAATAATAGTCTGTGTAACAAGGAAGTTGGAAATATGAGGAGTAAAATCATTGTGTTAGGGTTAGGGTTCTAAGGGAATGTCCTTATTTGAAGATAGCTCAGATCTCTGGAATGAGTGTGTGTTACACATGCTAAGGAAAATGAGTGTGCGTTCTCTGTATATGTTTATGTAGGGTTCTGCTGTTCCGCTGTTTGAGAGCAGAGGTAATGTTTTCCTCGTTATTATTGATATTAAGGTAATTAACATGTATTACTTGTCAACCATAAACAAACTATATCTTGGACATATCTTTAAGATACCAAAAGTATGTGAAACTGTGTGTATATTGAACTAAGGGGAGAGGGGGCCACAGAGAGGGAAGTCTCTGCAAAATGTATGTGTGGAGGTTTTCCACAAGATGACGAGCTTGTTATTCAGAGCAGGTTCGTGCTGGACACCCAATGTGTCTGTTTTACCTTAAATTGTAAAATACTCTTGCTTCCGGGTCCTCGGCTGGCTCGCGCTGATTCGCTACGGAAGCTCGTCATTTTTTATAACACCCAATGAATGGACTCTATGGGAGGAGAATCCGGCACACCTCCTACCCGTTCTTTTAGCATATAAGTCTGTTGTGTTTTTAGATCGGTCTCTCTTCTCCTGCTGCAAAGACCGAAGATCTAAACAGCACGAGAACCAGGGCAGGAGTACTCCTTGTATTGTATTGTAAACTATTTTCCATCTTCTCCACCCTCTTGGACCCTCCAAAAGCTCCTCCCCCCTCCTCACTTCTGTCAAGCGACTTTGTTACCCACTTTGAAAAAAAGGTTGATGATATTCGCTCTTCTTTTTCTGACTCACCTTTACTCACCGCTGGGTCACCAGACCCTCCTTCCACCAACACACTTACCTCCTTTTCCCCTCTCTCTCCAAGTGAGGTTCTTACCCTCATTACCTCTGCCCGCCCTACCACCTGTCCTCTGGACCCTATTCCCTCAAACCTCCTTCAGACTATCGCTCCTGATATTCTACCGTTTCTCACCCATTTCATCAACACTTCTCTAACTTCTGGTCACTTTCCAAACAGTCTCAAGGAGGCAAGAGTAAACCCTCTCCTAAAGAAACCCACTCTCAGCCCGTCTGATGTTATAAACTACAGGCCTGTCTCTCTCCTCCCGTTCCTGTCTAAATCACTTGAACGCGCTGTCTTTAAACAACTCTCCTGTTATCTCAATCAGAACAACCTTCTGGATCCGCACCAGTCTGGTTTCAAGGCAGGTCACTCCACAGAAACTGCTCTCATTGCTGTCACGGAAGAACTGCACACTGCCAAAACTGCATCCCTCTCCTCTGTCATCATCCTATTGGACCTGTCTGCTGCATTCGACACGGTGAATCATCAGATCCTCCTTCGCACTCTCCAAGAACTTGGAGTTTCAGGCTCTGCACTTTCCCTCCTCACCTCATACCTGAAAGACCGTACCTACAGGGTTACTTGGAGAGGGTCTGAGTCCGACCCTTGTCAATTAACTACGGGGGTCCCTCAGGGCTCTGTTCTTGGTCCCCTCCTCTTCTCCCTGTACACAAACTCGCTCGGATCAGTCATTAGCCCGCATGGTTTTTCTTACCACTGCTACGCTGATGACACCCAATTAATTCTGTCCTTTCCCCGCTCAGAGACCCAGGTCGTCGCACGCATCTCTGCTTGTCTAGCTGACATCTCTCAGTGGATGTCTGCTCATCACCTCAAGCTCAACCTTGACAAGACTGAGCTGCTCTTCCTCCCGGGAAAAGATTGTCCCACTCTTGACCTAACAATCAACATCGGCACCTCAGTTGTTTCCCCGACTCAGACTGCAAGGAATCTGGGTGTGACCCTAGATAACAGCCTGTCCTTCACTGCAAACATCACTGCTACAACCCGTTGCTGCAGATACACGCTTTACAACATCAGGAAGATACGTCCCCAGCTGACTCAGAAAGCGACTCAGGTTCTGGTCCAGGCTCTCGTCATCTCACGCCTAGACTCCCAACTCCCTCCTGGCTGGTCTACCTGCATGTGCCATCCGACCTCTGCAGCTCATCCAGAATGCAGCGGCTCGTCTGGTCTTCAACCTTCCTAAATTCTCCCACACCACTCCGCTCCTCCGCTCCCTTCACTGGCTTCCGGTAACTGCTAGAATCCACTTCAAGACACTGGTACTTGCTTACCATGCTGCGAATGGATCTGGCCCTTCCTACATCCAGGACATGGTTAAACCGTACACCCCAGCGCGTGCACTACGCTCTGCATCAGCCAAACGACTCGTTGCGCCCTCGCTGCGAGGGGGACCCAAGTTCCCATCGGCGAAAACACGTGGGTTTGCTGTCCTGGCTCCAAGATGGTGGAATGAGCTCCCCATTGACATCAGGACGGCAGATAGCTTGCACATCTTCCGGCGCAAACTAAAAACTCATCTCTTTCGACTCCACTTCGAGCGTTAGAATTATTAACGAAGCACTTTTATACTAATAAAGGACTGGCTTACCTAAAGCCAGTTGAGTAGCACTTGAAATGTTTGGCTCTATGAAACCTGATGTACTTATATGATTCTGTTTTCTTCAAGGTTGTGTCTT